TCTGCTCTGCCCTGTTCTGTGATGGGGAGCTGAGCTCTATGGGCAGCACTCGCAGGCCCACCCCCGCCAAGAGCACAATCTGGGAAAGATACTGCTTCTTCCCCTTATAATTCAGGCCTCCACCTGCTAATGGCTCCACACTTTTCCATCCCTTGGGGCCTCCCCGTAACTCATTGGTTTCCCTGAACCTTGCCCACATTCTTGCAGGCAGACCTTCACCAAACTCTCTTCCCTCGCCCCTTGGAGTAGGCCGACTGTTACCATGTCTTTTTTCCAGTTGCTTTCCAGGTGCTCCATCTCCATGAATGGTCTCCCAAGGTCAGACGCTTAGGGTCCCTCTTTCCTCTGATTCCATCAGAGGCCATCTCCCTCCTTACATCTCACAGATCCCTGCCTCCCCACCCCACCCTCTGCTTCCTTTATGGCCTTAGCTTCCTCCCTCGTTAATTGCAGTCTGGACCATGGCTGAAGTGGTCAGCTATTGTCCAGCATTCATTCTCAACTATGGCAGCGCCCTCCCCACAGGCCCACAGGGAACGTTCTACAGCTCATGTCTTGCCCTGTCATCCCTCAGCCTTCCCCATATCAGCTTCTGGCAAGAGAACCTTTCCTGGGATAAATTTAAATAGCCATGTTAGCTGCTTTGATGCTAACAGTCCAAATGCAGCACAACCTTCCCAGATCTGCCCCAGCCCACGTGCCAGCCTTATCTCTCTGTGTCCCCTCCCTGTCTACACACATATGCACTCACATACCCACACACACATTCACACACTCACACATGACATAGTGCAGCTACATGGAGCTGCTCACAGTTCCCTGATATGCTTCACCCTCATCCATGAGCTCCCTGCTCCCCGGCTTGTCCTCCTTTCTCCATCAGATGGGCTCGCCCACTGCACATCTTCCCAGACTCATTGTGACCATCGCCTCCTGAACAAAAGTTTCTCTGACCCTCTCTGGGCAGAACTGACGACTCCCTCACTTTCCCCACTCCATCAGTAGAGCATCCTGCATTGCTCTGTGACACTGGATTGCACTTAACCATTTATCTGTCCTTGGCAGACTCCTTGAGAATAATATTGTTTCAGGAACAGTAACTGAATGTAAAGGACTCCAATCGCATGAGCGTCTGAGGCTTGAGAGGCTCCTTGGTGTTTCTTTGTCTTCATTGGCTCCTTGGGGCAGCTGTTCAGACCCTGCTGTGCCAACCCCACAGCTCCTGCCTTTTCCTTCCCAGCAGCTCTCACCATTTGACATCTTGATGTGAGGATTTCATTAACACTGGTCTCCCCCACTAGAACATAAAGACTCCAAGAACTGGCTGTCCTGCTCACCACTGAGTTCCTAACTGTCATAGACCATGTCTGACACATAATAACAGTTCAAAAACCTCACATGTTTGCCTTATAAACAATAGTATTTTGGTTGGACAACGTAACCTACTTTGTTGCCACCATTCTTCCTGACCATCCTGACGAACTCCTTGGATGAAATTCAAAAGAATTTATGACGATACCACGTCCCTCCTTTAACCTCTCATCTACACAGTTTGAATTAAAAAATCAGCATTGTGCTGGTGAGAATGTAGAACGGTACAGCTGCTGTAAAAGACAGTGTGTTGGGTCCTCAAAAAATTATACATACAACTACCATATGGTCCAGCAATTCCACTTCTGAGCATCTACCCAAAAGAATTGACAGCAGGGTCTCAAACAGATATTTATAGGCACATGTTCAAGGCAGCATTATTCACAGTAGTCAAAAGGTGGAAACAAACCGAATGTCCATGCACAGATGAGGGCATAGAGAAAGTGTGATATATTCATACCGTGACTATTACGTGGCCTTAAAAAGGAAGAAAATGCTGTCACGTGCTACAACGTGGACGAATTTTGAAGACATTATGTTAACTAAATGAGCCAGTTACAAAAGCCAGTCAGAAAGTGTATGAATGCCACTTATAAGAGGTGAAATCATAGAAATAGAAAGAAGGGTAGTTACCAGGGCCTGGGGGAAGAGAGCAGTGGGGAGCTATTGTTTGATGGTTTGAGTTTCAGTCTGGGAAGATGAAAAGTTCTGGAGATGGAAGGCGGTGATGGTGGCACAACGTGAACATGCTTAATGCCACTGAGCTATATACTTAAAAACAGTTAAAATAGTAAATGTTATGTTATATATTACCACAATTAGAAAAACAAATTTAATTGTTAAAAAATCAGCATTACAATATTTCTCCTAACAAATGGAAGAGCCCTGGGCCTCTGGAGGTCCCTCTAACAGGGACACACCAGGCAGCTGGGGCTTAGACAAAGTATTTGCATGTCAACTGATCCCTGGGATTATTAGGAAGCGGCTAGATTTTTAAGCTTTTCTCTTTCCACACTGAAAAGATCATCCAAGCGGTACCTAGTCTTAGATAAATGTCTCTCTGTCAAATACTTTTCAGTAGCAACCCACACGAAAGTCCCTTGAGGGAAATAAAATAGGAAAAGGTAGAAATGAGAAGACAAGCCCCGCAGCCGCTGCAGGACATCTTTGTTCCAATGAGCTGCTTGGTGTGCGTGAGAGCTAAGGGGAGGCGGGTGCTAGGCTGGGCCCACACCAGGGCAGGAAGGTCCCAGGCTCTGCTTCCCGGGCACCTGGCACAGGCTACCCATCCCACCCCACCCCCCAGGAAGGAGTGTCTTCTGTTATTTGCAGAGTCCCCTGTGTGCTGCCTGCAGCCTCCTCCTCACCACCCACCGCCCCAGCCCAGGTGCCTGCCCAGGAATGCGGTGCATCCACAGCGAAGGCTTCTTGGATCTAAGCCATCCCCAGAGGCTCCCAGGGATTAAAGATGGTACCAGTCATCGGAACTGCAGGCGATGGGAAGGCCCTTCTGTGATGGCCCCATCCTGCCTGCGTGGCCAGGACTACAGGAGTCATAGCACTTCTTGTGGCTTTGGGGGAGGGGGGTGGGGAGGGGGAAGGTTCTGACTCCTCACTATGTGCTCCCCTTCCCCTCTTCTTGCCAAGTGACATGTGCACGCCCAGGAAAGCCTTACAGGGAGGGCCAACTGCCCTGAAAGGAAGCAGGAGTGGCCCCCGCTCTCTGCTTTAGTGACTGAGATCATAGGAGCCTCAGGTCTCACTGCACCCGCTGGAGGGGACACCTTCCTCCTCTGCAGCTTCTGGCAAAGTGAGGCCCTCCCAGCCTCAGAGGCTCACTCAGGCAGCAGGGGGCCAGCCGTGCGAGGGAACGAGGGAACAAGCCCTAGAGGGAACCAGAAAGAGACCAGGCGAGGAGGGAGGGTCTAACCTGAGCAGCCGTGCGGCCTGGTCAGTCACTTCACCTCTCCGTGCCTCAGTTTCCCCATCTAAGGATAATAACAGTATCTACTTCACAGAGTAGCTGTGAGGACCAAAATAAGATCGTGTGTGTCCCTTGGTTCAAATGGTGCCTGACACAGAGGAGTCACTCACACAGTGTTTGTTCTCGTTAATGCCATTGTTTGTTGCTGTTCTAGCCACTTAGCTCACCCTCTGCACCTCCACTGACGCTCTCCAAGAAAGCCAGGCGGAGCGCTGGCTGGTGCGGTCAGCTGTTCAGAACACCGTCCCGTAAATAAAAGGTGGCGGGTTTGATTCCAGGTCAGGGCAAGTGCTCAGGCAACCAAGCGATACTTGCTGTTTCTCACATCACATCAATGTTTTTTCCCTTCCTTTCTCTAAAAATCATTTTTTAATAAAGGAAAGAATATATATATATTTTTTAATTTGTCTTTTTAAAAATTTGTAAAAAGGCAAGGTGGGGTTTCCTGCTTACGGGGACATCCTGCTTGGACCTCCCGGAGCAGATACGGCTATCTGAGAACTGCTTGTTCGGGGACACTTTATTTTTATGAAACTCCTTGGCGGCATTACTCATGCAGGTTCCCAGGGAACAGACTCCCAGGGAGATGGTGCCCCTGCCCTGACCCGGCGGGTGGTGAGCAACCTCCTGGGCAGGACAAAGGGGCACAGGCCGCGATCTGCTTCCTTTCCGCCTTTGCTCCCCAGGTGTCAGAGTGGGAGGCTTAGAGGCCTTTTAAAGTGCAGGGGCCTCTGGGATCAATTTGTGTCTTAATCCCTTATCAGACCACAAGAGGAAAGCCTGACAGCTGGGCTTTCCTAAGGGGGCGTGCACGGTGCTGTGCTAGGGGCTTCACATGCATTATCTCGTTTAATCCTGACAACCCCAGACATAGGGGTCACTGTCCCCTTCTACAAACCAGCACACAGAGGCTCAGAGAGGGCCGCTGACTTGCCCGCAGGTCACCCCTCCTCCTTCCTGCTGCCCCAAGAGAATACTGGGACTTAAGAGAAGTTCAAGCATGAAGATAAAGGGAAATGGAAGCCAGCCTGCCAGGGGCTGCCTTGGCCAGGGCCCATTACGGAAATGTCCCGGGCCTCAGTTTCCCCACCTGCACAAGGCGGGGCGTTGGCCCTGCATCATACCTGCTGCTGCTCTCCCTGCCTGGTTGGACAGAGCTGACGTCTGGCGCCTTTCCCAGCCCTCCTGGCATTTCTCCAGTTCCTGAAGGGACAGCCACTGGCCATGCCACTCCTCCCTGACCCCCAGAGCAGGGAAGCTCCTTGGGGACAAGTTTGCAGAGGGGCTTTGTCATGGGGCTTTTGCTAAATTATTGTTGCTGCATTGAAAAGCAGGTGGTCCCCTCAAACCCCAAATTTCCATCTGGGCACAGGGTGCCTGAGCTGGGGGGCCACTTTGTGTCCAGACCCACCTGGCCAGCTCTTACTTTTCTAGAAGAGCTGTCCTTTCTGAACGTAAACAGCTTAGTCACATCAGCTCCTCTGCAGTCAACAGCCCTCCCCACTCCTTTTCTCCCAGCTCTTTCCTTCCAGGGAAACCTAGTGACTCTGGAAGCCAAGCCAGGCTGATCTGACTCAGTGAATGGGCAGCAGCCTGGGGGCCGAGGCCCCCCGCCCCCTGGGCCAAGGGAAGGACACAGTCCTACCTCCAAAGGCCGGCCTCATGGTGAAATCGTGGTCCTCCACCCTGAGGAGCGGCCGAGCCTCCCCTTTCCGCATTTTGGTCCCGTCGAGGTTCTTCTTGGAAAGGTGGCTGCAGAGACAAGGAGACACACTGCTCTGTGGCCCACCAGGCACTGAGTGAGACCGACTGCAGAGATCACTTTTGGCAAGAACTACCATTGGGCACATGTTCTCCATGGGGCTCAACAACACCTTCCCACCCCTCCCACCCTCCCACCCCTCTGCCCCAGGCCCTCACAGGCCGGGAGGATCAGACCCCTCCAGAGCCTTGCAAAAGGAAACACCTCCCTCCAGGGCACCATTCCACCTGACCAGCTCTTAATGGTCAAAAGTTATGACTAGAGGACAGCAGTTGGGTTGAATGGCGGAGGAATGAAAATGTGGGTTTTTATTCTTTTTAAACATTTCTCTTATGTTACCATAATGTTGGTTTTGTGATAAACAAACATCTGAGACCCCAAGCTGACATCAGTCCAGCGGGCAGCTGCCAGCAG